CATGATCAGGCGGAAAATCTCGCCGAGGTAGAGACCCGCAATCATCTTCTCAAACGACTGCTGGCCAGGGCGCGGAGAGTCCTTGTCAATGGCGACATCGTAAGGGGTCCGCGGCAGGACCTTGCCTTCGTTGTCAAAGGCACCCCACTCGCAGTTGATGGCCATGGGCGTCTCGGGCGGCAGGTTCAGGTGAGCAAGCTTCGGGATCGAACCACAGTCCTCAATGTAGGCGGCGTTGCAGCCCGTGCCAAAAATACAGCCGATTTTCATCTTAGGGTCGGTGTAAGCCGAGGCAATGAGCGTGCCCGTCGTGTCGTTGATCAAGGCAGTCAGCTTGATGGGGACTCCCTACGACTGGTCAGTACATTATTCTCATTGCTCATCTGTATTGAATACATTTCCAACTCACCCGCTGTGCCAGGGCGGCCTCAAACATGGGCACCACATTGTGGCCCTCGACGCCGGCAATGTCAAAGCCCTTGGTCCACCGCTGCAGGATGCCCTCGTCAACGTAGTTCTGGGTGGCAGGGTACGAGAAGGTGAAGCCGAGCGGGATCTTGTCCAGCTTGGTCACGTCGCCGTGGTGCGTCTCGATGAACTGCAGCAAGCAGTCGGCAATGTACTCCCATAGCTCATCTGCGTCGCCCGTCTTGAGCTCCTCGGGCATGCGGTACTTGGACTGAATAATATCAAACTCGGATTTCTGTTCCGTCAGAGTGACTTGGCAAACGCGCAGATTGGTGCCGCCCATGTCCAGGGCCAGGTAACTGCCAGTTTCATAGCCAGTAGGTTGTGACATAACCCATGTTGGGTTCATGGGCTGTCGCTAGTCAGTATCGCCTGCCTGTCCGCTGTGCTAGTTGTAGGCTCGACTTACAATGCTGCCACCCTTGACGCTCAGTCCTGGGACTTGTTAGTGATTGTCGGTCGGTCGGTCACCGAAAGTGGACTTACCTTTGGTGAGTTCATTCACAAAGTGGTGCGTAATCTCTTTGAGCTTGGCCGTGTCGATGGTAAAGAGCTCCTCAAGGTGCTTGATTTCCTTGAGAAGATCCTTGGGCGCATCGGCGAGCGTGCCTACAGCCATGGTTAGTGCAAGAAGGGGCCTTGGACACACAGTGCCTTGCACTCTCCGCGGGATAGGTTGGTGTGGTTGAGGTAGTGTGGTAGGAGCGCGTCTGGGAGAGATGGTGGGTGTTGTTGTGGTTGGGGTAAAGCAGGGTCCTCAGCTTTCCAAATGTTGCCATTCCGAAAGCTTCGGGTTTCTGAATTTGGTCTTCCCGGTCAGGGCAAGAGAGAAATACAACAATGAGAATATTGCCAAGAATTAAAAAAGATGGGACGGCGCGCCAGAGAGCACGCGGAAGGCGGGTGATGTCACGGAGCGCTTTAGTGCCAGGTTCTCGTCCAAGGCAGCCGTGATTACCGATGTTCCTCTTTTTGCTTGCTCTGGGTGGCACGGTCGGAAGTGAAAATGGAGATGGACGGACCAAGTCGTCTTTTCTTTTCAGGGCAGAGAGGGAGGTAGGCAAAAGGCAAGAATTACCTGCACCCCAAGTCCCCAAGTCCCCGAGCAGCAGACGACGATGGAAGGAGGGGTCAGGCCGAAATGGCGTTGCACGTACCGGTGCCCTTCCTAGAAGGAGGCGGTTTCGGTCCGAGGCCGACCATGGTGGCTGTGATAATTGCCGTTCTTTGTGGGGTTGATGTGTGTTGTTGAGGCTCCTTCTCTCGACCTTTTTTACCTCAGCAACCGCGGCAATTGCTGGCTTGGGTCCGTTCAAGACGATGTCAACATTGAAGACCAGGGTTCGTTCCTCGCTGTAGCGAGAAAGGGCAGGGATTCTCCTCAGCGAGAGCGAGGCCGAAATAGGAGTAGCGGCTACTACTGATTACCCCGCACCCCAATCCGAGCAAAGTTTTAGGCGTCTTCGAGGTGGGTTAGGGTTAGGCAGGTCATCTTGTCAGTTGTCACGAGCCCCTGAACAGATGGTTGGATGTTGGACGTCTCGTCTTGTCAGGTGAGTAACCCACCTGTCCGGCGCAGTCATGTTGACGAGAAAAGGTGTGTATGTTAATATATATGTGTATGTGGGTGTGCTTCACTGATAGATCCTTTCTTGATGTACGTACATCAATGTGTCCCGGAAGCACTCATGCTCAGCGAAGTCCATCTTGACTTACTCGTTGGTGAGCATCTCTGTCACTCGAGGCGAGGTCGTTTCACTTGCTCGAGTTAGTGCCGCTCAATCACAGATAGGCCTTACTCACGTAATCCTCCGAATCGTCAAAATCATGGCCGCGTTGTCGATGGACAGGAGCTGCTGTAGGTTGCGTACCTGAATTACGGTCAGAGACCTAGCTACCTATGACCTTGTCCACTCTCTCAGCCCATCATGTGCTCCTCTCCGAATTCTATGAGGAAACGGAAGACTGTGCCATCGAGAGCTGTGAGCACCACTGTTTGCTTGGGGTGACTGCTATCCAAACAGCAATCAAACTGGTCGACAACATTCCAAAGATTTCTTTGGAGAAAAAAGGAACACCTTAATCGTGTCGCTTGGATAAAGTGTCGTGACTCGTTCACGGCGGCTCATCCAGGAAAAGGACGATGAGTCTATCGACACGAACATCTTGAGTCCCATGGCCAGGCCATCCTCGTTCAAGAATGGCGTACTAGGCTGTTGTTGGACAGAGCTATCATGCCATGCTCTCTGTATTCGTCTTCAATCTCCGTCTCGGGCTCTGGAAGGGTTTCGCTTGCGTCGCCCGACTAGCTTGTGACTGCAGCTTTCGGCTGATGGTGGGTGGTTTGAGCTCTAGCACTCATGATGAGCAATGATGGAGGGTACAGATTATTCGAGTTTGATATGGTTGGTTTTGACGACGACAGTTGCCTGTTGATCAGCTCAGAACAGGACATATCACTAAATATACAGTGTGTAACCGGTTCGAGCCTCTTCAGAAAACCAGCTCTCGCCTGCATTGGCCAATCATAATTCGTTCCTTTGCAGCCCGACCCGCACATGCACCCGGCAGGGGTGTTTCGGCAACGTAAGCTTTTCGAGGCTGGCAGCTGCTGTCGGAAGGCCACGATGATGGTCTAGGACAGGACGAAGGGCGAATCTTTGGTCAAACCCTTGCTTTCCCGTCGCCCATTTCCTGCCGTCGAAATTTCTCAATTGGCGGGCGCACGACGTTGATGAGCGTCTTGCCGTCTTCTTTTCCAACATGAAGACGTCAGCCGTCTTCTCTGCCTTGGTGTCGCTGCTGTCGCTAGCTTCGGCTGCGAGCTCCGACAGCAACAGCAAGAGCAAGAGCAGCTCCACCAGCACCTTCACGCCGCCCCAGGTCTTCAAGAACGCCAATCTCGTGCATGTCGTCTCGGTCGAGAAGAACTACGTCAAGGAGAACATCAATGTGTTGGTGGAGAACATCGACAAGGCCGCCCAGGATGAATACTTTCTGCCGTTCACGGCCGACCAGATGTCGCGCCTCGGAGGGGTGGAGGTGAAGGACCGCAAGGACTCCAGCGCCGGGCTTTTTGTCGCCGAGGTCGTCGAGTTTGACCAGGAAAGGTAGGGCTGAGATCTGCGACACTCTGCTCCCGCCGGCTAACAGCCACAGTGACATCCAGTACCTCCGCATCCGACTCCCCAAGGCCCTTGCGCCCGGCGCGCAGCAGACCCTCGGCATCAGCTACTACCTCCTCAAGGCGTACAAGCCGCTCCCCGCCTCCATCAAGCAGGAAGAGCTGCAGTACCTCACCTATTCCTTCTCGGCGTACTTGCCCTCGGCCTACACGACGACCAAGCAAAAGACCGAAGTCAAGTTCCCGTCCGGCACGATCCCCGACTACACCAAGCTCCCCGGGAGCGGCGACATTCAGGAGTTCCCGCTGAAGCAGGGCTCCAAGCTCACCTACGGCCCCTTCGGCGAGAAGCCCGCGGGTGCCATCGAGCCCGTCACCGTGCGCTTCGAGTTCAACAAGCCCGTGACCCATGTCTCCCTCCTGGAGCGGGACATCGAGGTCAGCCACTGGGGAGGCAACGTCGCCTTTGAAGAGCGTTATACTCTGCACCACCGGGGCGCCAACCTGTCGTCGCTCTTCAACCGCGTGAAATGGCAGCAGGCGACCTACTACCAGCCCACCACCTTTGCGCTCAAGGAGATGAAGTTTCCCCTGCGGGTTGGCAGTGAGGACCCTTACTACACGGATGTGATTGGCAACGTCTCGACGTCGCGCTTCCGGAGCAACAAGCGCGAGGCCCTGCTCGAGATCAAGCCGCGGTACCCCGTGTTTGGCGGGTGGAAGTACCCCTTTACCATCGGCTGGAACTCGGACGCCAAGAACTTTCTGAGGAAGACGGTCTCCGGGGGGTTCGTGCTAAACGTCCCCTTCCTCGAGGGCCCGAAGCAGCCGGAAGGCGTCGAGTATGAACAGGTCCAGGTCCGCGTTGTTCTACCGGAAGGCGCCGAGTATGACAACCCCCTATTTTCCCTGCTTTGATCAAACCATTTACTGACTGACTCTCTATTTAGAAACGTGAAGTACCACACCTCGATCCCAACGCAGTCCATCACAGAGGGCGGCGTCGAGATCCACCGGACCTTCCTCGATACCATCGGCCGGACAGCCCTCGTCATCAAGGCGCGCAACCTGGTGGACGATTTCAGGGACCGCGAGCTGGTCATCACATATGACTACCCGCTGATGGCGGCCCTGCGGAAGCCCCTGATCGTGTTTGGCAGCGCCGTTGCCGTGTTTGTGGCCGCCTGGGCGGTGGGGAATCTGGAGTTGAAGTTTGACGCGAGAAAGAAATAGAGGGAGTGTAGGGATAATATAAAACGGCCGGCTTCTTTTTGGGATTTGTGTGTATTTTTGTACCTGTTCTGATGTTGTCCAGAATACAAGCCAGGGGTTTTTTTGATAGCCGGAAGTGGTTTGAGCTGGCTCGTGATAGACTGGTGTGGTGTTGTCGAGCACCCAACAAGCACAAGGTTCGATGGTGTAGTTGGTTATCACGTCAGTCTAACACACTGAAGGTCTCCAGTTCAATCCTGGATCGAATCAAAGGCATCCCAGTGGGACGGTTAAACACCGGATCACGATCTTTTTTCGCTTGCGTCGTACTGGTGTGGTGGTGAGTGGAGAATGCCATTATCGTGGAGCCCGTCAGGGGTCACCCCTATCCATTTTGGTGATGGTCGAGAAGAGAAGCTTTCTTTTTCTCCAAGACACCTGTGGGTCAGTGCCGTAAACCCACCTCGGGCAATGGGCTGCAAGCTGACGTCGTGTGAATAATCTGTACACTTCCAAGCCATGCCAAGCATCGTCATCTGAGCCCTCTGCGCCTTGGCTGCTGGGCAAAGCGCAGCCACCGGGGTGAACTTGCATATCCAGGGTCCTGCTCGTCCCTGCGTGCGTCAGAGCCGGGGCGCCCGAGAATAGGATGCGAGATCCGGTTTCTTCTTAAGCTGGCTGGCCGCGGAACCTAGAGTCCTAGACTGTGATAAATTCCAAGCGCAGAGTTCACTCGTCGCACCTGATCAACTAAACACCTGACCCTGTCTCGATATATAAGCATTATTTTCAGACAACATCATCCTCAACCTCAACACAAACTCGCGACTTCAACTCCCAAGGCGGAAGACCTCAAAATGTGCTTCGGAACACCCCCCTCAGAGCGGTACTACTACCACGAAGAAAGCATCCCCGTGCGGCCTCGCCCTCATCAGCATCACCACCACCACCACGGAGGCCACCACCACCACCATTCACCGCGTGCAAGCTACTCCAGCCATAGACACTACTCGCCCAGCCCGAGAGCGAGCGTGACCAGCTACAGGGCGAGCACCCCAGTTGTTTACAGCAGCAGGCGGTGAGGGAGAAGAATCTTAGCATAACGGCGGCATGGACGAGATAGAGGGATAGGGAGTTTCATGAGATGAACTCGGAGAGTTCGGATGGATGGTAGGAGGTAGCAACACGACAACACGACAACGGCGTTGGGGAACTGGGTTTGGATATAGCATTAAGCGCTTGGGCTTCGGAATGGAGATATGATAATGACCTGTACGGTTTAATTTAGATGAATGATTTTGCACATGTTATTGCCCAAAGCACTCGAGGCATGCGACTCGGGATGAAGAGGGCTTGTGATGCTGAGGTGGGATGGGCGATCAACCATGGTGAGTTGGAGGTGGGGCAGAAGGGCAAGAGCCATGACGTCACTGATGTGATGCCATCCGTTGGCCTAGCCATTTGCTATTCCATGACGAGGGAGATCTGGACAAAGACGCTCAGGATTGGAGGAGGGAGGGTTGCATCATGAAAGGGATTGGAGCTGTGGCGGAAGCAAGGGAAAATGTACCCAGGTTAGAATGGTTGTAGTTTTAACAACAAAGCAAGTCCAGTCATCCTCTCTGTCCGTCCTTCAACAGCAGATCATCCTTTTGAAGTCATCTCGAATATATCAAACAACAGCCAGGGTAATACCGATAGCTCCACCAGTGTTCAAATATTGGAAGCCCTTGAAACCCCTCAGTTCCCAATCAGTCTCATCCCGAGCACCTGCCTGGGACGCTCTCTTTCGGAAGCAGTGAGAAGGAGCAGACCAACTCGAAACACCACCACCGGTGCTTGCACCTGCAGATCCACACAAAGTCGACATCCCAAGGAGAGCTTCCGGGCTACCCTGAGAGACAGACACGATGTAAGTCATCCATCCGTGCCCGGCACCGAACACCCCAGCCATACCCAACATCGCACCGCCCCAAGACAATGTCACGCAGAAGCACCGAAGGCAGCCGCTTCTCCCTTTCTGCTCAGTGGTATATACCTCACAAACCACCAATGTACCTCTTCTTCAACCAACAACAACATCTCTCTAACCCCTTTATTTATCCACACAGGAACCGCGCCCTCTCCTTCCGCTCCTCCCACCGCTCCTCCGCCGGCACGACCAACACGACCACCTCCTCGGCCCACTCCACCAACACACCCTCCTCCTCCACCACCACCCACCACCGCAAACCCTTCTCCTTCACCTCTTTACGCGGCGCCTCCCAACCCCCGCTCTCCAAGCGCCTCTACCGCCTCATCAAGTCCGCCAACGGCCTCATCGCCGCCCACGAAACGGCCGCGCGCGAGCGCCTGTCCATCGCGACGCAGCTGTCCGAATGGGGCGAGCAGACGGGCGACGACGCGCTCTCCGACGTGAGCGACAAGGTCGGCGTGCTGCTGTCGGAGCTGGGCGAGCAAGAAGAAGCATACGCGGGCCGGCTGGACGGCGAGAGCCGGGCTGTGTTAAAGGTCATTCGCAACACGGAGAAGAGTGTGCAGCCGAGTCGGGATGGGAAGCGCAAGATTGCCGAGGAGATGGGGAAATTGAGGGTGAGGGAGCCGCAGAGTACGCGGTTGGTGACGCTGGAGCAGGAGCTGGTGAGGGCCGAGGCGGAGAATTTGGTGGCGGAGGCGCAGTTGGGGAATGTGGTTCGTTTTTTCTTCTTTTTCTTCTTCTTTTCTTCTTTTTTTATTCTGTCTGGGTTGTGTTGGGTAAGAAGAGCGAGCGGGTGTGCTGATGACCATGACAAATTAGACGCGGCAGAAACTCAAAGAGGCCTACTCGGCCGAGTTCCTCGCCACCATCGAGCGCGCCGAGAAGCAGGCCATCCTGGCCCGCCACGGGCTGCGGTTGCTGCAGCTGCTGGACGACACCCCCGTGGTGCCCGGGGATGTGCGGCCTCCCTATGCGCACGCCTCGCAGTCGCGCCAGATCCTAAACGATGCCGAGGATGACTTGCGCGAGTGGCGGTTGGATGCCGGGTTCATGGGCGACGATAAGACCGTCGTCGTCGACGGGACCTCGCCGGTGGCGCCAAAGGTGGAGGAGAAGGGGAAGCAGAAGGAGAAGCGGGACAAGAAGGCGGAGGTGGGTAGGGAGAGCATCGCCAACACGGGTTGAGTGACAAGGGCCGTCAGGGGCCGTCAGAGTTGGCGTGTGGGAAATTGTGTCTGATCATTATGTATACCTAGTCTGCGACAGTTACCCTGCGATTGCATGCCAGTTTATGTTCTTCTTGGCCAACAAACCGTTTGAAAATCAGATACATACGCCCCTGAGTCCGACCATAATCATCATCAAACACTCGCCGTCACCCTCCTCACATTCCTCCTCGGCCCCTCCCCACTAATCATGACGGCGCCCTCCATCTCCAACGTCCTCATGACCTCTGCAAAGTCGCTCGGCTCCACCGGCACGCTCGCGCCCTCGGCAAACTTCCGCGCCACCTCGGCGAACTTGACGGCCTGCCCGCCCGCCGTCAGGTCGTCCAGCAGGCGGACGACGGCGTCCTTCATGTCGGCCTTGCGCTTGCGCTCGGCGGCGCTGGTGCCCTCGGTCAGCAGGCTCATGTCGATGCGGCCCTGGGCGTCGGTGGCGGCCGTCTTGAGGGCGGTGCGGATCAGGCGCACGGCCTCCTTGACGTCGTCGCGCGTGACCGTCTCGGACAGGCGCATCTTGGCGTGCGCCTCGGCCAGCCGGATCATGGACTCGAGCTGCCGCGTCGTGGCCGTGATGCGCTTCTCGGCCGCCCGCACGTCCTGCCCGAGCTTGCGCATCTCGACGTACGAGTCGACCAGCTCGCGGCCCGCCGCCGGGGAGATGGTGGGGTGGATGTTGGAGCGGGCGTACGAGATGTACGAGGTGAGGAACTCGATGGGCTATATTTTATATATAAAAAGTGGTGGTTAGTATGTCTCGTGGTTAATTAAGCGGGACGGGGGGAGTGAAGAAAGAGAGAGGGACCCTACCAAAATGTCCTTGTCGGTTTGGGCCGACTCGGGCTTGTCTTCGAGATACATGGACAGCAGATGGCGTGCCAGCCGCTGGTCCGTCTTCTCGTCGACCCGGTCGAGGATGAGATAGACCAGGTCGAAACGGGACAGGAGCGTAGGGGGGAGATCAATGTTCTGTGGCACAGACATGTCCGGGTTGTACCGACTGCCGATCGGGTTGGCAGACGCGAGAATGCTTGTCCGGGCATTGAGCGTCGTGATGATGCCCGCCTTGGCCACCGACACGGTCTGCTGCTCCATCACTTCGTGGAGGACCGAGCGCGTCGAGTCGTTCATCTTGTCAAACTCGTCGATGCAGCACACGCCTCCGTCGGACAAGACGAGCGCGCCAGACTCGAGGACCAGCTGCCGCGTCTCGGGGTCGCGTGTGATGTAGGCCGTGAGACCAACAGCAGAGGAGCCCTTGCCGCTGGTGTAGACGCCCCGGGGCGCAATCCGATGTATGTATGTCAGCATTTGCGACTTGGACGTGGAGGGGTCACCACAGAGCAGAATGTTGATGTCTCCGCGGTACCTGGGGCTAGCCCCTTTCTCAAACGTCTTATTGGTGCCGCCAAACAGTTGCAGGAGAATGCCCTTCTTGACGTCGTCCATCTCGTAGATCGAAGGGGCGAGCGAGCGGGCCAGTAGGTCGTAGAGATCCGAGCGGGCCGCCGTCGCCTTGATCTTCTCCTCCTCGGCCGGCGTGACCTTTTTGATCTGGTCGAGGCTCTGCCCGCTGACGTGCGCCTCTTCTTCCTCGGCAAGATCAAGGGTAGAAGGGTCCGCACCCATCCGCTTCTTGTCCACCTTTTGCACATGTACTACATCGACATATGTCTTGTGCACGCTCTTGACCGTCCTCATCCGCGGGTTGACGCGCACCGGCGTGACCTTGTAAATGCCCGTGAGCTCGACCCGGTCGCCGGCCTTGCAAAAGTCGACCAGCTCGTTGTAGACGCAGACAGACACCGAGTGGGGCGTCTGGCCAGGCGGGACGGCGTCTGGTGTCTCCTGCAGCTTGATGACCTGCTTGTCCTCGAACCCGCAGCGGTTGTGGATAATCTGCATCGAGTTCTTTTGCTTGCAGCGGGCGCGGGGGCACTCGGTAGGCTCGCGGATCTTGCCGCGATCCAGCTCGACCGAGACAGAATGCCCGCACACGCTGCACTTGAAGAAAGCCTCCTTCATGTCGGGGATGACGGGCGTGGCTCGGATGACGAGACCCTTGATGG